ACATAAGATATAACACATGAATGCACATCAAAATGAGATTGTTGAGGGCCAGGAACAAAAGAAAATATTAAAATCTGTCCAAGATACAAGATGCAGTGCAGAGAAACAGAGGTGAACTAGAGTACATGGAGCAACATCTTGAAAGTACTGGAAGACAAAAACGTGCACCTAGGATTCCAGACCCAACGAAAAGTTTCCAAAAATGAAATCAAAATAAAAAAGACATAGAAACTCTGAGAGAATTACCAACAGACAAGTTGAAGAAATGGAGAAACAGAAAAGGAATTTCTTCAGGTAAATGATAATCAGTCGAAAATATGGGTCTGCACAAAGAATGAGGAGCACTAGAAATGATAAATATGTGGGTAAATATAAAAGGCAATTTCTCATAATTTTAAAATATCTTTAAAATAAAGGTGTCTGTCTGGAAAACAGTGTGGAGATCCCTCAAAACATTAACAATAGAACTCCCTTATGACCCAGTAATAGCACTGCTAGGAATTTACCAAAGGGATACAGGAGTGCTGATGCACAGGGGCACATGGACCCCAATGTTTATAGGAGCACTATCAACAATAGCCAAATCATGGAAAGAACCTAAATGTCCATCAACTGATGAATGGATAAAGAAGATGTGGTTTATATATACAATGGAATACTACTTGGCAATGAGAAAGAATGAAATCTGGCCATTTGCAGCAACGTGTATGGAACTGGAGGATATTATGCTAAGTGAAATAAGTCAGTCAGAGAAAGACAGATACCATATGTTTTCACTCATATGTGGATCTTGAGAAACTTAACAGAAGACTATGGGGGAGGGGAAGGAGGGAAAATAGTTACAGAGAGGGAGGGAGGAAAACCAGAAGAGACTCTCAAATAATGAGAACAAACTGACGGTTGATGGGGATTGGGGGAGAAGGGAAAGTGGGTGATGAGCATTGCAGAGGGCACTTGTTGGGATGAGCACTGGATGTTATACATAAACCAACTTAACAATAAATTATATTAAAAATAATAAAAAGGAGTCTGTTTAAAGCAAAAGATAACAACAATGTATTGCAGGGTCTATAATGTATATGGCAGTAAATATGAAGGGAAAGGAAGAACAAAGGCTGGGTGGAAACAAACGGAAATATGTACTATTACCATATTTATGCCATATATAAATTAGTGTAATGTTACATAGGGTAGACGGCGAAGGCCTAAAAGATGTATACTCTGAACTCCAAAACAACCATTAAAAAAACAAATATGTATCACTAATAAGCAGACAAAGAAGATAAAATAACATATCAAAAGTATTCTAGTTAATCCAATAGAGGTTAGGACAAGAAAATCATCAAAGAACAAATGAGACAAATAGAAAAATGATAAATTTAAAAGCAACCATATCAATAATCACAGGAAATGAAAATGATCTAAACACACAATTTAAGACAGATATAGTCAGAGGCAAGCATTAACTTAATACTAAAATCAAAGACATTTCTACTAAAGAACAACTACAGTCTACATGCCAATATCCCCTGAAAACATGGATTCAAAACTTCTACCAAATCAAACCCAGCATTTGACAAAAATGGTAATATCTCATGACCAAGTCAGGTTTATCCAAAGGATGTGAAAATCGTTTTTATATTTGAAAATAAAACAGTGTAGTTCACAATTTTTACAGACTAAAAAGAAAAATTTATGTAATGGTCTCAGTAAATGCAGAATAATAATTTGACAAAATTCCATATCCACTTATGCTAAAACTGTCATCAAAGTAGGAGTAAAAGGGAACTTCATTTACCTAATAAAGGACATTACAGAAAGCCTACAGCTAATGTCATACTTGAAGATGAAAGACAGAAAGCTTCACTCCCAAAATTGGAAACAAGACAAGGAGGTTTGTTTTTACCACTTCTGTTCAACATTGTACTGAAAGTCATGGCAAATGCAATAAGGCAAATAAAAGAAATAAATGTAGACAGATTGACAGAAAAGAAGTAGTATTGTTTTTTCTGAAGGAATCGATAAGAAACCTTATAGAACTAATTAAGTGAATTTAGCAGGACTGCAGAATACAGATCAACATACAAAAAATCAATTGTATCTCTATATACTAGGAGCAATCGGAAATTGAATTATTTAAATACCATTCAGGAATAACAAAAAATATATTATAAAAATCCCCACCAGAGTGTCACATTTGTTACCATTGATTAACCTGCATCAATACCTCATAATCATCTAAATTCATAGTTTACATTAGGTTTCTGTTGGTGCTGTCTGATATGTGGATTTGGACAAATGTATAATGACATATGTCCATCATTATAGTATTATACAAAAGTATCTAAAAATAGTCTGTGCTGCACTTATTCTCTCCTCCATCCCCCCATACCCTGGCAACCACTGATCTTTTTACTGCCTCTATGGTTTTACCCTTTCCAAAATGTCAGATGGTTGTAATCGTACAGTATGAAGCCTTTTTAGATTGGCTTCTTTCACTTAGTAGGATGCACTTAAATTCCCGCCATGTCTTTTCATGGCTTAATAGTTTTTGTTTTTAGTGCTGAACAATATTCCACTGTAACTCATTTAATCATTAAGACCAAAGAAAGTTCTCCAAAATTATTTCAATTGCTTCAGTATGCTTTTGGGTACACCTCCATCTGTCCCTTCTCCTCTAGCCCCAATATTCATCTCTCCTGACTTTAGGGGCATTAATTCCTGGAAAAGTTCAATGTATTGTAATTGCCACTCTAGAAGTGGAGAGCAGTGTCCTAAAAAGGCTGTTGTCACACTTTTTCTATGCATCCCAGAGTCCTTTCGTCAGAATAATATGTACATGGAATCCCAAAATAGAAGACAGGTAAATGTGAACCTGTGCCATCAAAATGAAAGAACAAGACCCAGAGTCCATCTGCTGGGAAACCATAAGCTCTCAGGCCTCCCCTGCAGTCACAGAGGCATCCCAAGTTATCCACAAGCATCTATCGCTGCTTGGAAATGGCTAGCACAGACAGGGCAGAGGGACAGACCAGTTGGAAGGACAGACCTGGACGTGGTGTGCCATGCCTGCACAAAGAGCCCCAAGGTGGAGGACAGGTGCGGGGAAAACCCACAGTCAAGTTCTGTCAAGTGCACCACTGCATGTTCTGCTTGATCACTTTAAATTTTAAGATTGAGGAAAGAGGTCTCAGGAAGCAGAAACCTTCTGAATGGAGTGGTCACTATTTTATCTGACTTTCATCTAAAGAAAATGTTAAACGAGACATGCAGCAGAGTCAACTTGGAGTTACAGCCTGATCCCCTTCATGCTCCAGAGAGGAAACCAAAACTCACAATTAAGACTAAACCAGTAGATCACAGAGTATCAAGGGCATATGTGCAAATGGTTTCCACTTACAAAGACCTCTTGAACCTACTTAATAAAATTCCACTAACTATTTTAAATTGCACTTATTCTCTTTAAGCACTTTGGTTGTCTGACAATAACAAAAAGAGGAAGAAATCCTAATTACTTTATTAAACCTCACAAATCTCGCAGAAGTAAGCTTTGAATTGACTTTTAAATTCCCTTAAACATTTGTAAAATTGACTAATCTTTCAGCCAAAAATCCCAAGTCTAAACATTAAAATAGTCAATAACATGTTACCTTCAAGTTGCAAGACTCCTCTCTTGGATATTCCAATATGTCAAAGTTTCTTCTACATAATAAGTACTTACTAAGTGTGTCAGGATTATTCTTAAACTTAAAATTAGTAATGCTGTGGTTTGATTTAGTGTTCTACATTGTTATAATAATTGTAGGATTTTATGTAATTGAAATAAAGTTATCTGTGAAGGGAACTGCTGTGGCACCCCAAGCCAGTGGGGGTTACTCCCTCAAGCAACCCGGGGTTACCTCCTCAGCTGGCAAAGGTTGCACTTCAGCCAGAGACTTGAGGTCGAGAGTGAAACCTGGATCTGTAGACATGCAGGGAGACTTTTGTGTAACGCAGACCGGACACACTGAGACCTCTTGATGGTCACTGTGGTGAAAGGGGACCCAAACACGAATCAAGTACTGCCCCACCCACTCTGTGACTCAGGTCAGCTCTAGAGCTGTCTAGGTCAGATGTGATTTCGCCAACCCTGGCTTGTAGATGGTCAGCCCAGGTGCTGATTCTGTTTCAGCCCTCTCTTGTTGCCCAACCTTGACAAGGGCCTGTGAACCCAGCGGCCTTCTTCCCTGGTCCCCTCCTATTATTTAGGTGTCAGACAAGTTATCTCGAAGGGCCCCGTGAAACCCATCCAGTCTAATTCATCTCCCAGCGTGCTTTCCTCTGAAATATGTTCTTACCTTTACCATCTGGACACCCTGAAACGACACTACTGAAAATGCTTCTGGCTCCCCCCGTGACTTCTCTCACTGAAATTAACATTGAGCATAGTAGGGGCGCCTGGGTGACTTAGTCGGTTGGGCGTCCGACTTTTGCTTAGGTCATGATCTCGCGGTTCGTGGGTTCGAGCCCCGCGTCGGGCTCTGTGCTGACTGCCAGCTCAGAGCCTGGAGCCTATTTGAGAGTCTGTGTCTCCCTCTCTCTCTGACCCTCCCCTGCTCATGCGCTCTATCTCTCTCTCTATCCTAGAAATAAATAAAACATTAAAAAAAAATAAAAAATCACATTAAGCATAGTAATGAATGCCGACCATGTCTCTCTCTCCTTTCTTTTTTTTTTTAATGTTTAGTATATTTTTTAAACAGAGAAAGACATAGTGCAAGCAGGGGAGGGGCAGAGACAGAGGGAGACACAGAATCTGAAGCAGGCTCCAAGTTCTAAGCTGTCAGCACAGAGCCCATTGCGGGGTTCGGACTCACTGACAGAGAGATCGTGACCTGAGCCGAAGTCGGGCACTTAACTGACTGAGCCACCCAAGTGACCCTCTTCTAACTTTCCCAAAGAATATTTTTCTTGACAGGAATGACTGTTCTGAGCTGACACAAGCACACTTTTCTTTTAAGCATCTGTCTCATAAGTCTACGTAGAAAGATGTCCCTGGAGGAAATGAAAGATCTTTAGCTAGTCGGATAATACATAGAACCAGAAACCAAAGAAGTGAATGGAGTCCTTATGACCAAGATGATGAGTGATAATTGGGAGAACATCTGGAATTTCCAAGCAAGACCTGATGATCTTCTCATTGCATCCTATGCCAAAGCAGGTAGGTTTGGGAAACTGGAGGTGGGTAGGAGGAGCAGGGACCTTCTGATTTTAAAAATGCAGATTTTCTCCAGGCCTAGCCCCTGGAGAAATGAACCCAGACTTGCTTCTGAGCTCCAATCCCCTAGGATCCAAGGTTCTCCTGTTTTTGTAGGTCTCTGATGAAGAAAGAGATTGGCAGATGCTAAATCTTCAAAGGACTGAATGAATTACAAAGTTATTTAAAAGCAGAGTCTGAGAAATTGTACAGAGGTTCTCACAGTAATCTTGCCAACCCAGCCACTCCTGGTTCCCATCCGTGAGGCAATCCCGGAGTAACAGCACTCCTTGCCCATTAAAAAGCATCTCTTGGTGGGGGACACTGATGTGGAAATGAGGGCCTTCCCCCCAATAGGAACCATTCTGATGATACTGAGTCCAAACCCAATCTGAAGAAGAATCTGAAGAAGGGGAGTTGACACCTACCAGGGCCTCATAAAATGAATGAGGGGCTGTGACAAAAGTGAAGGTCTGAAAAGGCAAGAAGTTCCCAGGCTTGTACAGGGGTGGAGGAACAGAGAATATCCTAATTGGGGAGGCTGCGAAAAATGACTGACGATCCCCCTGCATTACCTGCGCTTGTAATGTCAAGCTGTGTGACCAAGTGAGGCGGGGATCCGAAGCTGTAGCCAGTATGGGAAAGTCTCAGTGTCCATTTGACTCACCAAGGGGGACTCCGGGTATTCCTAACCAAAAGACTTCAGAAAAGGGTATGGTCACTGCAGTTCTTCGAACCTTTCTTTAGTAGACTGTTATTAGACTCCCTGGCTAGGCATTCCCTCCTTAGCCTCACTCTGTTCTCAGGATTCAGCATTACTTAAAGTAGGGCAGGACCTTCCTGTCATCAGGGCTCGATTGTTTCAAGAATCCCCTTCTCTGTCTGGTTTGCACAGGACACTTCTCCTGCCCAGAACTGAACCTGAATTTTCATTGCACCTCAGAGCAGAAATGTTTTCAGCTCACCTTTGAAATTTTGCAGTCAGTCCCAAAGCCTCTCATAAGACAGTCCCCAAGTCTCCAGCCTTAGTCCCTCCGCTACCACCTCCTACCTGCTGTGCGCCTGCTTCTACTTCCCAGTGAGGAAATGTGACTCTTTATATTGCTCCTGTGGCTCCCTGCCTGGGATGCCCTGGCTTCTTAATGTGAATCGACATTCCAGTCCGACTTGACTCTACACTCCAAAACCATCTCAGCTGAGCCTTACTTACCTCTTCCACAGCAAGTTGGCTCTTCTCCTATGTAGACTAGTTCTGTATCCCTTTGAACATCCTTTTTTATTCTTACTGTATACTGTTCATCTTCTAGTTAACTGTGTATATGTCATATGTGTCAGTGAGCAGCCAGAGAGATACCAAACACTTCTGATGTAAACAGGAAAATGATATCTGGTGGACAATGAGGACAGTCTACCTTTTTCCCTACCTATATGTCTATGTCCACTCCTCTTTTGTATCCTTTAGGATTCAGCTTAGCTACAAGTGTCACAAAACCCAAAATAACACAAACGAAAAAGCAGTCTGAAGAATTAGTAGTCGATGCTGAAATGGTGGCTGCATTGATCATCAAACCCAGACTTTTTCTAACTTTCTACTGCACCATCTCCAGGTGTAGCTTTTGGTTTTATGGTCCAACCTGACTCCTGGAGCTTGAGCCATCCCATGCACACTTCAAAAAGCAGCAAGAAGGTAGGAAAGGAGGAATAAGGTCATGTCCCTTCCCTTTAAATTTTTTTAATGTTTTCTTTATTTTTGAGAGAGAGATAGAGACCGTATGAGCAGGGGAGGGCCAGAGAAAGAATGAGACACACAGTCCAAAGACACCTCCTGGCTCTGAGCTAGCTGTCAGCACAAGCCTGACGTGGGACTCGAACCTATGAACCATGAGATCATGGCCTGAGCTGAAGTCGGAAGCTTAACTGACTGAGCCACCCAGGCGCAGTCCCTTTTCTTTAAAGACAACTTTCCAAAATGGCATGGCCACATCATGCAAGAAAGACTGAAGAACATTGCATTCAAGGCAAATATGTATATGCCCAGCTAAAAATTAAGGATCTTTAACTTGAGGAAGAAAGGAAGAATGGATATAAGCTAGGCAAGAAGCAGTCACTGTCCTATCTTATCTCCTCCTAAAAGATCGTTAACGTTATGAGAAGAACAGTGGCTAATTCATCTTGTATGTCCCTACAGTCATTTGATTCAGTATTCATTCTCTCAGCCTATCCTTATCAGGTTCAAAGCCCTATGCAAGGCATGGGGGATTAAAGAAGAGGTGGTAAGTAAGCTGATTCTGGTTAACACTTAGGATGTATAAATTTTACTGAACACATAAATAATCAAGGAAATGAATTGAACTGTGCAGTGAGTAGATGGAATTGACAGTAAGTATTGCCCCTAGGTACAACCTGGACACAGGAGATTGTGGACATGATCCAAAATGATGGCGATGTGGAGAAGTGCCAGCGGGCCAACACCTTTGACCGGCAACCTTTCATTGAGTGGGCTCTTCCCCCACCCTTCAACTCAGGCAAGCTTGCCCAAATAATGCCCATGGTGTTGTAGCTAAGACCCATGACTACCGTGTTAGGTCAGTTTGAATCTGAGAAGAGAATTATTTCTACAATTAGCCTTCTGGAAAATATTTCAAGGATACTGGGAAAGAGGTTAAGATCATTATACTCACTTCATCTGGGAAATAAGACTTCTAAATTCCTCTTCTAAATATATAAGTTTGGGCAGCATCAGACAACTCATTCCCTACTGGCGATTGGGAATTCAAGAGTAACGATGAATGTATAACAGAGAGAATGAAGGGTGAGGACTCCTAGCATCCAGTGATTAAGAACCATATTCCTCTGTGATTGTGCTCCCCTCTCATAGAAAATTCTCCTCAAATATATTTTATCTATAACCAGTCGACCACAGAATAAAACAAAATTATGTATAGATCATTATAATCAACATACAATTAAGCTTCACACCAAAGATATGAAGAAAGATAAGACACAGCATCCTTGAAGAGCTTGAAATCAATTAGGAATAAAGGATATGTTTTTATAAAGGAAATAGTGGCAAATACTAGCTTTTATAACAGATGACAACAAAATGATGAAAAGCCATAGACTTTGGAATCAAATAATCCAGCTTCAAATGTTTACCTGGGTGACATTGAGTAAATTATTAACTCTCCAACCACGATTATTTTTATTTGTAAAATAATATCTATTGAAAAGCCATTAACGATTGTGTCAACTATTCTAGCACCATTTGTTGAAAACTAGCTATTTTTCCCTATTGAATAGCTTGATCACTTTTCCAAAATCAACTATATGTGTCGAGATATATATATATATATATATATATATATATATATATATATATATTCTGTATTTTCTATTCTGTTCCTTTCCATTTTGTGTCTATCTCTATGCCAACACCACACCTCCTGCTTATTATAGCTTCATAAGCTTTGAAATTAGATATTGTAAATTCTCCAGATTTCTTCTTCTTTATCAAAGTTGCTTTAGCTATTTTTGGATCTTTGTAAATTCTAGAATCAGAATGTTTGTTTCTACAAAATAAATTCCAATATTTGGTTGGTATTGCATTTAATCTATTGATCTATTTGGGGAGAAGTATTACCCTAACAAAATCAGGATTTCTGATCTGGGAATGTGGTTCATCTCTTCAACATTTTAGGCCTTGTTTAATTTCCCTTACCAGTGTCTGGTGTCTTCTGTCACTTATGTCTAGCACATCTTCAATCAAATTAACCATAAATATTTTTATTTAATGATATTAATAATGGCATTTTTCTATATTAATCTTTATTTGTTGCTGGTATACTGAACTATAATTGCTATTTGTACTTGACCTTGTACTCTGCATCCCACCTTATTGGTTCTAGTAACTTTTCTATATTCTATTGGGTTATTCTGTTTATTGGCTCATAGATATTCATGATTTTTCTATTTTACTGATATAAGGGAGACTTTAGCATTGTAAATATCTTTTTTTAAGTTTATTTATTTATGGTGAACACAGGGAGAGAGAGAGAGAGAATACAGAAGTACATGGATTGGGGGTGGAGGCACAGATAGAGAATCCCAAACAGGCTCCATAGTGTCAACACAGAGCCGAACACAGGGCTCAGTCCAATGAACCATGAGATCATGACCTGAGCCAAAATTAAGAGTCAGACACTTAACTGACCAAGCCACTCAGGCACCTCCAGAGTTCCTTCTTTGTCTGATATAATGCTCTGACGGTTGAATACTACTTTATCTGATAGCATCATCATCCCTACTTGCATTTTATGTGTATATCTACCCTTTGATCTTCACTCTTTCTGTGTTTTAAGTGTGTCTTCTATGCTGCATATGATCGAGTTTTCATTTATTTTTTATTATTTTTATTTATTTTTTTACAAATAGTTCATTGTCAAATTGGTTTCCATATAACACCCAGTGCTCATCCCCACAAGTGCCCTCCTCCATGCCCATCTCCCCCCCCCCCATCCATCAGTCCTCAGTTTATTTCTCAGCATTCAAGAGTCTCTCATGTTTTGCCTCTCTCCCTTTCCCCACCATTTCCCCTCTTCTTTTCCCATTGTTCCTCAGTTAAGTTCCTCCTAATCCTTTATACGTGCAAATATGTGATATTTTTCCTTCTCTGCCTGACTTATTTCGCTCAGCATAACATCCTCAGGGTCCATCCTTGTTGCTCCACATGGCCAGATTACATTCTTTCTCATTGCCATGTA